TCTGGATAAGTCGACGTCTGTGGCTTGGACGCTGCAAAACATCCTTCGTAATTTTATACAGCTGACTCGATATCATCAGCGTGCGACTTTGCAGCAGCAGACCGCCTTGCATTGATTTCGAAATTGGTTTTGGGCACCGACCATTCAATAGCAATGGTAAAACTCATCATCAGATGCCTTGCTGACTGGCGTGGGCGATCATGCCTCTCCATAATCTGCGATCTCCTGCAGCATGTATCAGTTCGGGTGCCGACACACATCCATGTCATGCAACAAGACTGTCAAGCATCTTCTCTCGTTGTCTTCCTCTATCCCTTTTTCCACAGATCTTTCCAGTGGTAACATGTTCTATTTTCCCTCTTCTCCAAACATGGCCGAAAAATGATGACTGTCTCCTTCTGATGACTGTGATAAGTTGTCTTTGGGCTCCCGCCTCTTTCAAAATCTCTTGGTTGCTCTTTTTGGCTGTCCAGTGTATTCTAAGCATTATTCTGTAAAACCACATCTCTGAGGCCTCAAGAAATTGTTTGGCCTGCCTGCCAATTGTCCAGGATTCACATCCATATGTTAAAACTGGATGTATGTAGCAAGCAAGAATTCTTTTTCCAACTCTCAATGACAAGGATATATTGCACAAGATGTTTTTCATTTTATAAAATGCAGTTTTTGCCTGTCCAATTCTGTTTCTTGTTTCAGTTATGCATCTTCCATCTGATGTTATCCATGTGCCCAGATACTTAAATTTATGTACTTGTCCTAAAATAACACCATTGACTTTTATTACACATTTAGGAATAATTTGTTTCTTTGATACCACCATTACTTTTGTCTTCCCATTATTCAAACCGAGGCCCATTCTTCCACTTTCTAACACCACAGTGTCTATCTTTCTGACTTGTTGCTATCAAGACTGTGTCATCAGCATAACGTAAATTGTTTATATTGTGCCCACCAACCACAATTCCGAGCATATTTCCCGGTAAAACTACTAAACTTAAAAAAAAATCAAAACAGCCCAACACCAATAGTAGTATATCCAATATTTTTTTGGAAAAAAAAGTGGGGGGGGGGGAGGGGTTGTTATTTTTTGCATATAACTTTTGCTAATAGGGGTCAGGGTCGAAGATGGAGACAGGACATTGAAGATGCGTTGAAAATGAAAGCACATGGGGTTGGGGAGCTGGCTAGGGAAAGAGATGCTTTGACGCGTGCCGTAAAGAGAGTGATGTTTTGTAAAGGACTTGCTGATTGATGATGAATCGAGGCTCAGATAATCTAGAGAACAATAACAACAGCAACAAAACTTCTGGGCTATATGCCTTTATATGGGGGGGGGGCGATTTACGGCGTGGAGCCAGCGGTGTAAAGCACCTCGGCTTGTTTATCTAGGTCATCGAGAGGATCTGATAAGATGTGTGCATAAGAGGGCGGGTTGATCAGAGAGAGAGAGAGGATCCGCGGATTTAGGAGTGGGGAGCCCGCTGGTTATATAGCAAATCAAAAAAACTAGGGGTATTTATTGGCTTGGTGGATGGAAAAAGAAAGTATATATGATACATAGTAAACTATGTGAAAACGGAAACATTAAAATGACTTGGGGGAAAGGTCAAGCATCATCATTTGAGTCAGTTTATAACTATCCAATAAGATTTCTTTTAATTTGTTAAGGTAATGACTATTGAGATAATTTGTTCCCCTAATTTCTCCATTATTCATTGTTAATGAAATTATGTTGTTTTAGTATCGAGAAGCCATGAGTTGTAAACCCTTAGACTCGGTATTATGGATGTCGCAACCTTTCAGCCTTGATTCCATTGTTAATACCGTAAATCTGGGAGAAATGTGGCTTTCCTGCCTACCCCCGGGATTGAACCTGGACCACAAGGAGTTCGTCACCCGGTCTCCGCGCAATCCGGTTAAGCCAACTAGGCTAGAAAGCCGGGCATGAAATTATGTAAGACCAGTTATGCAAGCTTACACTGAGATGTATAAATGCATATACAGAACCAAATGCTAACAGATACATACAGATATAAGTAGAAATTGGGTAGAATGAATACAGAGACACCAGAAATATATGCTTGTGGAATTAACAGAAAGGCAAGATGAATGGAAAGATGGATAGGGCGAGTGGAAAACATTGACTCTGATGATTGTGTGAGATGGCGAAACATGACAGACTACGCTTACGGGCAAGGCACATGATGATGATGACGATGATGAGAATTTGCTAGGTGTACGTAATGATGGATAAATAGGCACACCTATAAATTCGAGATTATAGAAAACAAAAATAAAGACTAATAGACAGACTACCGAACAAGCTGACTGACAGACAACGGCAAAAAAATATAGACATACATCGCCAAGCGTGTCTACACTTTCGGTAGTTTAGTATTTGAATATGGTTTCACATTCGGTATTTTCAAGCGCTTTTAAATAAGAGGTCTATACCTGGATGGCTATGCCGTAAGGGTGGGGCCGAAACAAGATCACTGACCTGATCCGTAATTCCTTTGTTCGTGTGAGAAGGCAAAACGCAATCGCCTTTGCTTATCGGCAGCACACATCATGATGCACTTCCGGTCAATATGATGATAAGGGAGATTTACTGTTTTTAGTCATGAAAAGTGTTTGCTTATGATAATAGCCTTTGCATGTTTCTCTATAAGAAGACTGAAAAGATATAGTTCAGAACTACTGGGTTGAGTGCATGGCGCAACACTGTGAACTTAGGTTTTTATTTGGAAGGCTTTTCTGCTGTGCCCAATGCTTCTTGTGTTTTGAACTACATACAAGGTCCGACAATTATATTATGGCCAAGACAAAAATGCTATATATAAAGCAAAGCATGGAATCTTTAGTGACAACATTCATCTATGATCTGGCAACTTTTCATCACCGCTCGATAAGCAGACAACAAACAAGCCGCCATTATGTTGGCCTAGTCAGAGATGCATTGTTACGTAATTAGCCTTGAGCAAAAAGCTTACATTAAATTCTTTTTTAAAACCCAGAAAATGTGCCATTGAAACAGTACAATGGACTCATCATGTTTATGGGGATAATTGTTTATCTCGTGCACACATTTTCAGCTGCTATTCACGATTCAAAAGTGGTGTAGAAATTATTACTAATGCTCCTAGACCTGCACGCCAAATTTCTGTTCGTAATAATGAACTGATTGCAAAGGTCAGAAAAAGGATACAAAAAGATCATTGTTTAACTGTTAAGATGATGGCAGATGAATCTGGTGGTAATATAAAGACCATTCATAACATTTTAGTGCAAGATTTTGGCAAGAAAAAATGTGCTTGCTGGTTTGTACCACATTCATTGTTTGATGACTAAAAACATCAACGGGTTGAGTACCCAAGAGACATCATCAAAATAAGAATTTTTGGCCCAAAAACAAGTGTGTGTTCTCAGCCTTCGACCCTGTTTCCCAGATTTCTCTCCCTGTGATTATTTTATATTCCCAAAATTAATGTTTTGATTGAAAGGACGCTTTTTTTTTAACGATTTTGATGACATCCAAAGGGCCGTAACATCGACTTTAGGGTCATAACATCAGAAAAACAACAGAGGTCGTTCCAGTTTTTTTTTTTTTTTTAGATCGTGCCACTTGCTATATCAATGCACAAGGGGCTTATTTTGAATAAAATGCAGGTTATATCTTCAACTGTTGATTATTTTAATTTTTATGGAATTAGTCTAATTGTCGGACCTTGTATTTCGAAAATGGCGAGTACCCCATTGCCAGAGAAAACTGGTGGTGCTTTATGCGATTAATTGCGTATGCAACTACTGATCTTTTGTAACACCGGCTTCCATCGACGATGAACTGCATTTCTAGAGTCAGACTATCTGTTTTGTCACTTCTGGCGGCTGTCTTGTGCAATGAATGCGTCTGTATGCTTTTATTGGCTTTGATGAGACTGTAGTCTTTGTCAGTATTTGCACAGGGGATAGTGATGGACATTCTGTGTGGTTTTCTTTGCACAGGGAGGGACCAGCTACAAGGTGGCCTTTTTGCTATTAATTTGAACTAGTTGAATACATATGGTGATAATGATGGCGATAGTGATTATGACGACGAAGATCATGATGATGACGGTGATGATAATGATGATGATAATGATGATGATGCCGACGACGATATTGATATAATCATTATGATAGGGAGAAGGCAGATTATTCACGTCAGCCGCAGCAGCGCTGTGGTTAGCATGTTCGCTTGCCTACCTGTTGGTCGTAGATTCAAATCACCATCGAAACGGATAATTAAGACTGACCTGGTCTCCTAGATGGACTACAATTAATACATTTAGATACCCTGACATTGTCTGCATTGTCTACCTTGTGCCGGTACCCTGACATTGTCTGCATTGTCTACCTTGTGTCGGTACCCTGACATTGTCTGCATTGTCTACCTTGTGCCGGTACCCTGACATTGTCTGCATTGTCTACCTTGTGCCGGTACCCTGACATTGTCTGCATTGTCTACCTTGTGCCGGTTGGTCTATAAAATATGAGGCTGTCACCATATGCCCAATAATCCTTGGGGCAGGACAGTAGGCCATTTTAAATTTTTGCTGTTTTTCTTCATAATTTGCCGTTTGCAAAAAGTGATGAAAAAACCTTCAGTATCTCCTTCATCAGTCACCTTGAAAGTTACACTGGCCTCTCAGACAAGTCAAGTGGTACATTACCGAATTGTATGCAAGTAAATTTACCGGCGATATGAAGTCTTGTGATCTCAGCCAAACAAAAGTACACCTCTGTTCAGTGCACACCGTTTTAGGAGATCTTGGATGTTGTGAATTTCTGTTATGAAGAACAACTAGTTTACCCCCGGCAAATCTTCTTTCTTGGACTCTTTTTTGGATAAAATAATTTTCTGACTTGACGAACTATTTATTGGGTTTCCGGTGTTCTCCTTATCAAGTTAGCACTGTATTTGGAAGTAACCACTAAATTACTGCTCGTTATGTACACAGGTGAATGGTTCTTCCATGACGTTGTTGGGTGAAGCTCAAGAGGATGACAGAAGGCTGATTTCCGAGCTAGTCCTTGCTAAAATGCAGACTTTGTGCAGGCCTGTGGCACAGTCCTTGAGGTAACCTTAGTCTGTTTTTCTTATGTACATTAGAATTACAGGACTGGTAGAGGGAAAGAAGAGAAGAGGTGGACAAAGAAAGAACCGGGTGCAGAATTTGGTTGATTGGAACAGGTTTTCAACATAAAAACATCAAGTCCATTATATCTAAGGAGCAGAGGTGGACAGAGCTGACCAGTCAACAGCAACTTTAACCCAACAACACACAGTAAGATGCGATTATGATTATGATGAAGATTATGATGATGATGTCTCAAAGACGTTGATTTAAAAAAAAAAAAAAAGTATACAAGTGTTGCATGCTAACTATGAACCAATTTTTATTTATTTTCGCTTGGTCAAATTATGTGACATATAGATTTTTTCGGAAAATATGGAAGGGTATATTTTGTGTTTCTTTTGTTCGTCAGTCCGTTGTGTTGTTTATAGATCAGAGGTTCTCAAACAGTTGGTCGCGACCCCTTTGAGGGACGAACAACCCTTCCACATGGGTCGCCTAAGACTATCGGAAAGCATATATTCATTGCAGTAGGAAGTAGCAACGAAAATAATATTATGGTTTGGGGTCACCACAACATTAAGAAGTGTATAAAGGGTCGCGGTATTAGAAAGGTGGAGAACAACTGTTTTAGATGACTGGTTCCTTAAGTTGATTAATTAGTTGCTTATTTGACTAACTGGCTTTTTTTTTTTTTTTTTTTTTTTTTTTTTTTTTTTTTTTTTTTTGTTCATTAGTGTGTTTTGAAGGTTCATTGGTTGATTGGTTGATCAGTTGGTTGGTTGGATAGATAGTGAGTGGGCTGGTTAGTTGGTTGGCTGGATGGATGATTGAATTGGGGGTTGACTGATAATTAAACTGTGTTTGATTCTGGCATACATACACATAACTATCCATGTCGGTACTCGAGGGCTGGTACAGTGTCTTGAGATTCTCCATGTGAGGTACATTTGAAAGCTTTATCAGTATGTAGTGTTTATCAGTATGTAGTGGTACAGCAGCAAGACGCTCGCCTGAAAATCTAAGGATCTGGGTTCAAACCAGAACGGAGCCAGACTTTTTTCAAAAATGTCATTGGCTCTTAAGTCGACCCAGCCTTAAATGAATACAGATAAAGTTCTGAGAAGTAAAGATGGCCAGCGTGATGTCGACCATCTCACCTACTGAGTGCCAATTGGTCTTTTTAAAAATAAGCCCTATAATGATTTTACAGAAAGCTTATAATATAAGCCCTAGTTAACTTCGTCAGCCAAACAGACAGATTTCATTGGTCCCTTAAAAAAAGTGACAGACGTATGGATTTACAACGCAATGAAAGTATAAATACTTGAATGAATATAGATGTGTGTACTTTAATAATTATATATATATATATATATATATATATATATATATATATATATATATATATATATATATATATATATATATAAAATAATCCTCTTGTTCAGTTCTGTGTTGGTTTATTATTATTCTTTTGGGCCCCTGTCTTGTCTGGCCTCACCGCTTTTGATGTTATGTTCGTACAGTCTAGTCAGTGTTGCAAATTCACAATCATTGCTTGATCGAGCTGCCTCTCTGAGGACATTAAGTGTAATCTGGTAATCTTAGTTTCAGCATCATGGCAAACGGGTCACCTCATCCTGTGCCAATAAAAAACACACAGAATATTTATCACAGTCCCTTGGGGAATGATTGAGAGACTGCGGTCTCAGCATATGCACTAGCAAACACACGCATTAAAGACATACGGTAGCCATCCGAAGTGCTAACACAAACAGCCCTACATTTGATCATTGATGGTAGCAGAAATCACAAACAGACCAGTAGTTGCACACGCGATCAATTTTAATCACATAATGGCACCACCAATATGGCGACAACAAGCATCGCGTCATTTTCTAAATCTACAATTCACACCACCCTGTTGGTCACAGTAGAAAAACATTCCAAATAAAAATTAGAAGCTCACAGTGTCACGCCATGCACTCAACTCAGAAGCTGGGCGACGAAACTATCCTTTAAGTCTACAAATGGAGCAAAAATGCACCGGCCACCGTCTTGCAAAGGCAACAAAATAATTGCCACGGCTCACAACGGAAGTGTATCAGCCATGTCCATTGCTTGTCCATTTCCCATGTGAGCATTACTTGCAAGTCTATCTGCTCGTTCATGTAAAAGTAAATTCAAGGACCCTTTTCTACTCATACAGGCATATCGGGCATATAGGCCTAGACCTATATTTTATATTCTAATCAGCATTCAGTGACTGAAATGGTCAACATCACGATGGCCGCTTTTTCCTCCCAGGACCTATCCGGTACCCTTTTAATTCTGGGTCAACCTATAAACCAAAGTAGTCTGGGGAAAAAAGTCTGGCTCTGTCAGGACCTGAACACCCGACTTTCTGATCAGCAGGCAAGCGTCTAGCTGCTTCACCTCGGTGGCTCCATAAGGTCAATTACTACGTAGCTATATGTCAGCTTCTGCGACTAGGTTCTTTATTTATGAATACTGTTACCATTTTTTTTAATGTATCCATTTTTCCATGTTACTTGTCCCGTAGACACTTTGTGGTGAATACTGTCATTGTATCGAAACTTTATGGTGAGTCTGGAAGACCAATAAGCCGTGTATTTACTTTTTTAAATTTTTTTATTGCAAGTCTTCATCCATGAAAGTTATAACTACGACTTTCTTATCTCAATCTAGTAAAGCCACAAGTAGCCATGCCATTCTTCATCAAGTCAATGGATCTCATCAAAGTGGCCCCTACCCTGGTAATGCTGGCAAGCCACCACAAAACAGACAACCTGATGGGTAAGCTGAAACAATATGTAGAAAATTACCTTTACAGATTGTGCAAGAAAGAAAATAGAAAACAATAGAATTATTGAAACGTATAGAAATACTGTAGTTCTAAGCTGAGTACTGTTCCAGGATTACACACATTAATGTTATTTTCACTCATCGGTATATTCTCTTTTTTTTTTCTCCTCCCCTTTCTTCTTCTTTTTCTCCTCCTCCTCATCATCATCATCGTCTTCTTCTTCTTCTCCTCCTCCTCTTCTTCTCTGTCCTCTGTGCTATTTCTACTTCTCTTTCCCTTCTGCGGCTGCTCCTAAAGCCATTGCTGCTATACTACTACTACTTTTCCTTGGATCATTCAGATGGGATAACTATGAACCGAACAGTGCCCCGAAAGGGAAAAAAAATATGTTAAATAAATTATTAGCTATATGCTTGAGGAGGTAAACATTTCACAATAAATAGGTTTTTAAAATGGTATGTGTTAACGACAAACTGGCAGTATCGCTTTTCTTGGCTCAATTTCATGCAGTGGGCTCTAGTCTATGAAAGGAGTGGGGGAAGGAAGGGGGGTCTAAGGGGGATGCAGAGGTTTCGGAAAGGGGGGGGGGGGTGGTTAAATATGAGTGCATTTGTACTTGTAGCAATCCATTATACTTACATTTTATTGTAGTTTAATTATAAATAAAATATTTTTTTAAACATTTTATTAAATAGATCAACAAGGACATTTTTGTTTTCATGCGCAGTATATACATCTATTGTTAACAATCTAATTAGTAATTAATATGATAACATGCATTTACCTCTACGCTGGCTGCTGAAGATGAGGACGGAGCATGCATGGGAATGCCCTGAGTGCTGTGATGTCAATTCTCGATTCTACTCAACTTAACTCAACATGCATTTAATTATAGATTGAGAACACATTCTGTCCAAAACTTAACTCCCTACTTGCTGTGTCCCTTAATGTAGAATCTATTGTCCTTCTCTTTTTAATCACATTTTGTAATGTTGCCTTGTGGGGGGGGGGGGGGGGGGGGGCTTACCATATACTCATAGGAAGCATGGGGCTCCTAAAAAGGTTCCTGACAACTAGTTTAATGATTTGTCACATGATTTGACTTCAGTGATGACTTTCTTTAGGTAAGCAGGTAATCGCAGTACCAGTTAATTTAACGCCAACTAATTTAACAGACACTTTTTTATATTATTAGGAAAGACTTTAAGAATAAGTCAAATTTGATAGCATATTGACATAGAAATCATAGATATTCTTTAGATTTTCTGTAATTACAGTAGAAAGTAAAGAATCTTATACTGTGAAAATTATATGTTAAAGACAATCTTGGAAATAAAAAATTACTGAGACTGCAGTGGGAAATAGTTAACTTTTTCTATATAGGAAGAAACCATTAAAATAAGCCAGAAACAGAAAAATAGCACAAAGCAGTCAAAAATTAGGACATTATTTAAATAAATACTACCAGAAAATTGAAAGAAAACTGATGATTGAATATGTGAACCGTGCCTATCGTACAAATGAAAATGGAGACTGCCTGGGGTAGACGGCTGGAGAAAGAGATAAGGGAAAGAATATAGAAGGTAAATGAAAGTGCACTTGAATTTTTTTTAAACGAAAACCTTATTTATAATCAGAAAACAGGCCCAATTATTTAGTGTATACACATGCATCAATGGGCTATCAGTATAACAAAATAACAGTAGTACCTTTGAATATGCTTTATTTAACAGAGGACTGTTTTGTGTCTAAACATACCTTTAAATTAGTGTTTTATATTAACTTGGTGTTATTTGTTATCTGTTATAGTAGTAATATATTGCCAGAAAAATCCCTGGTGAGGGTAGTAGTATAGATCGTATGTTTAATGACTGTATATTTTTTTTTTAAATCACTTATTTGTGCACCGAATTTAAATTGTGTATTATGTCAAGGTTCAAGCACTGTGTAGCCGTTAGTTTAGAATATCACTGCTATATACCGGTGTTTTAGCAATTGAAATTAGCTATATCATCTCATCTTCATCTCATCTTGATCATGTGGTACCTTGCGGTGTTGAGGTGAAGTCTAATTTGAGGGAAGAACTGATTTGTATGTTTCGTAAGTTGGGATTCCCAGGGCCTCTGTAATTCCCTATCTTCATCACTTGCATGGTTGGCCTCTTCTTTGCTTTCCACCTGGTCTGTACATCATTGCTTGCTGCGGTATACTGCCTTCTGACATTTAATGACCAAACCATTTCACCTGTTGTCTTCTAATGAAATCCAGAGTTGCTGCTATCCCCCCGCCCCCACCCCCACCCCCCATTTTCCTTCGGATTTCATCATTTCTGATCTTATCTTTTTTTTGTTATATTGAGAGCTATTTGCAGCAATCTCATTTAAGTTGTTGAAATTTCTAGAAACATCATCAAACTGGCAAACTGCTGTCATCGTCCCGCTATGGAAAAAAATGAAGTAAGAGGGATTGTACTAATTACAGAGGAATATCACTTCTCAGTCACACTGGGAAAATGTATGCTAAAACCATCGAAAAAGGCTAAGACCATTGATAGAGTATCAACTTTCAGAAGCACAGATCGGCTTTCGATGAAACAGAAGTTGCACAGATGCCATTTATACCTTGAGACAGCTATCAGAGAGGGCAATAAAACATGATAAGACATGTTTGTTCATTCATAGACTAAGAAAAAGCCTTTGATTGTTGATAGGAATATTTTGTGGGAATGTAATGGGGAAAAGGAAATCAGCCATCATCTCATTAATATTTGCGAAAGCCTGTAAATGCATAGTAAATGCAGCATAAGATCAAAGGCAGGGTTGTCAAGAACTTTTATAGTGAACTCTGGTGTGCGTCAGGGCTGTGTACTATCACCACTTCTTTTTATAACATGCGTGGATACCATTTCTAAGGAAACGAACTTTAATCATGAAGAAGATATTACAGAATTACTATTTGCCGACAACCAGGTACTCATAGCAAAAAGTACGGAATACCTACAGAACCACCTAAATCAAACTAGTAATAAAGGGGAGGAATATAATATGAAAATAAACATTACGAAGACAGAGACAATGGTGGTAGGAAGACAGAAAGGCAATTTAGAAATAAAATTAAAAAACAACACTTTAAGACAAACAGAGGAATTTAAGTATTTTGGAGCAATTTTCACATAAAACTGGACAGAGAAATTAGCTCGAGATGTGCTAAAGCTACACATGTAATGAGGCAATTGTATTCCTTGTTGACACACAAGCAGATACCCCAGAGTACTAAAGTGAATCTTATAAGAACTATTTTTGGCCAACACTATGCTATCAGTGCCAAACGTGGACACTTACATCCTCGAATGAATGTAAAATTGTGACAAAAGAGATGGAATGCCTTAGAAGAGCTGCAGTAGTTTCAAGGAAAGACAGAATACGAAATCATGAAATCAGACAAATGCTAGGAATAAAGCCAGTCTCACGGGTCATCAAAGAACAACAAAATGAAGCGGTTTGGACACCTAACAAGAATGCCTTGGTGCTATCCACCACAGCGAGCCACACTAAAATGTTACAACGGGTAAAGAGTGAGTAGAAGACCTCGGAAAATATGGAGTGATGACATTAAGAACAGCTTTACAGAAATGAACATCAGCCTTAATAGTGCTCTTGACAGAGCTCATCAACTAATTTTACATCTCCCTCCAAACATCAGCCTTAATAGTGCTCTTGACAGAGCCTATCAACTAATTTTACATCTCCCCCCGACACTTCAATGAGGTACAAGGTGGAAGAGAAGAAGAAGAAAGAAGAAGAAGAAATTTTTCTCTTCTCTTTTTCGGTCATTTTCCAGTTCTGGCACTGACAACACAGGGTTGGCAAGAAGATTGTGTCATAACATGCTCTTTTGGTATCTCTTGAAACATGTTTGTTTCTTAGTATTGGTGTCATTTGCCCAATGAGTTGGTTTGCTTTGTTAATCTGTCATCAATCTCATCCTCCACTTTGCCAGCTGAGGATATTATACTTCCTAAGCATTTGAAGTTCTTGGTTTGTTTCAGAGAATGTTCTGTAAGCTGGATATTTATTGTTTTGTCTACATTGGCTATGGTCATGACCTCTGTTTTGTTGGCAGTGATTTTCATTTTATGCTGTACATTTAGCAATTAGTGCTTTATTGTCTGCAAACAGTAGTTCTTAGGTGAAGCTGTTTGGCTTTGGATCTTCTTCTCCTTGGTATATAGTAGTCCTTGTTTGGTTCGTTTCTATACAAATGTTATCAGTGTAAGTTATGGAGAGAAGGGGAGACAGGACACAGCCCAGCTGTACTTCGGATTTTGCGGTGAATTGTTCTGAGTTCTCCATTTGTTTTTACAGTACATTCACTGTTGTTATACAAGCTTTTACATATGCTAATTAAATATGTGTTTACACCGTAACTTTTCAAGATTCCAAATAGTTTGCTCCTATCTACTCTATCGAATGCTTTACCGTGATCAAAGAAAGCTAAGTAGAGTGTTTCATTACATTCAATGAATTTCTGTATAAGTTGTCTTAGAGCAAAGATGGTGTTTGTCCATCCCATATTTTTCTTAAATCCTAGTTGCACTTCACTTAGCTGGGCTCAGTTACAGGTTGTAGTCTTTTCTCTAGAATTTTGCAGAATATTTCTCCTGTATGACTCAAAAAATAGATGCTTCTGACCTTAGCTATAAGAGTGTTAATTATTGAACATAAAATGTTTTTGGTTGAGCATGTGTTCCTTAACTGTGGCAGCTATTTAAATGTGGTTGTTCAACATTTTATGGTGTTACTTCCTGATACTCATGTGCCTCATCCTAATACTGATAGCAATTTAACCAGTAGAATTGATTGTGAATAGAGCTTTCATATGGAAAACAGTACTTAAGATAAGACACACTATGACAGTATATGCTGCATTTACTCCATGGACGGTGATTACAAAAATAGGAACAGAAATACATTTTTTTCAAATGGTCATTAAAATACACTTTGTAGCAGTAGTTATTGTAATAAAAGTAGTGGTGGTGGTGGTAGTACGAGTAATCACAGTGCGGTATCTGTCTCGATAAACACAATAGAGAATTAGGCCTCCCACTGACAAGTAACTGCACTTACACTCACAACTCCTTTTCAATATTTTTTGTAAATAAATTAAAGTGAATATCCTTTTTTTTCCCCCACATCTCAATAAGCATTAGGTTTATGATGTTTGATAAAGGCAAATTTCACTTTAATTTACTCTAATTGCTGCATTCTTCTTATTCTTTTGTTGTCTCACTGTTACCAAGTTGTAGCCCAGTGTCGTGGTTTTCTGTATTTGTCTTGTGCTTCTCGGGTGGCTTGGGCAAATTATTTTTTTTTTTCGGTTACACCATTTATCCATCTCTTTCCTTGTCGTCTCCTCACTTTCCTTCCAGATATTTTGATGTAAACAAAAGCACAAATCATATTTAGTTTTGTCTGGCTGCATTCTTACTAGACGGCTGAATCATTTCACTCTTTACCTATCAATACAATTCAGACACAGTGATGATACGAGAAGTGTTATGTTAGGATTGCGATGCTAAGTCAGTTTTTAATATTACCAACCAACACAAACGAGGTGATTTGGTCAGTATCAAACTGACTGCGTTTACTTTCTCAGAGAAATCCCTGGTACTTATTTTGTGGAGATGTGTCAACCTCCGAGCTGTTTTGGTTGGAAACGTAATCACTCTATTACTGAAGAAGGACCACAGTATTGGTAAGCCTGTGCATCATCTTCATTCCCCCCCCCCCCCCCTTTTCCCCGCTCCGCAGCATCCATGTTAACCACATAAGTAGGAGTTTAGGTTACATGTCCCCGGAACACCATAGATTTAGGAACCTAATGGAAAGTAAATACCAAACATAATCAGTTTATAAACATTATGTGCCGTCTCCACAGTAAAAGTTGGTTGGCTGCAATACACCTACTGCGGTCTTTAGGAAACAATGCACCTACTGCAGTCTTTGGGAATATTACATACATGGCTGCCAATAAGATTTCTGTCAAAACCCAAGATGAGCCTGATAAAAACCAAAGATATAAGCAAACAAATGAAATAAAATCAACCAGGAGTGTAAAATAGTATTTTATAGTTATGAAACTCAAAATTTACTCACTTTTGTTAAAATGGTACATTAACAGCTCTTTTTCTTTGCCAGTTTACATTGTCACTGCCTCTATTTGCTTTTCAATTCTCTTTAAATATCTTTGACTAACAGCCCCACTTTGCAACCGATGCTAGTCACACCTCTAAGGTCAGTGACCCCTTGAAAGGCCTCCAAAACACTTTTTTCACTGTTGCATCTCATCTTTCTTCTGTTTATTTGCCATAATATTTTCCAGTCTAAGCCGCATTTTGTGTTCAGCTCTTAGCATCTCTAACTTTACAACGTACAAGCTAGATATTGTGAAGGCCCTTTGGGAGGGAGTGAACAGGCACCAATAAATCATTAGGGTCTGAGGAGTATGGTGCTGCAAGGAGTTACCAGGGTATCTGGCTGATGCTCAACACTCAAGGAAAAGGCCAGGTGGATAAACAACTAGATAGTTATTAGTGCCATTGGAGTTGGAACTCTTCACTTGTTGCTAAAGATGGGGATGGAGCACTTATGGGAGTGTCCCAAGTGCTGGGATGTCGATTCTTAATTCAACATCCTACTTTACTGCGTATATTACAGGATCGTAAATCTGGTCCCTACTTTTCTTGCTGTTCAAACAGGGCATTGTTGTTTAGTTAATGTTTGAACACTGCTACACTAATCTGCATGTAGCCAAGTTGTTGAGTTAAGAACATCCTTTGCTTGTTTCACATGATGCAGTTTTTACGGGCTGCTAGCCTGTTACCCAAGGGTGTATTTCTCAAGCTTTCTCGATTGTTTAGAACAGAATATTATGTTCTAATAAAGCTGTTATAGATATATAGTGTTCTCATTAAAATATTTATTAAATGTAATTGTTGTCATCAAAAAGACTCAAAACCCAAGAGGTTTCAATAATTATTTAAACAAAACCCAAGACGACATCTAAAGACCAAGATCTAAGGTGGGGGATTGGGGGGGGGGCAGCATTTATGTAATGTAGTCGCAGTCTCTGTCATGAAAACCACACTATTTTGTGGGGGGGGGGGGAGGCCATCCGCTGCGGACATTGAACTGGCACGTGAGTATCATGAAATTGTTAAACGCATCAACTCATCTTGAAGCCACAGAGTCGGACAACCTAATGAAGCAATATTCCAAGCAAACAGGGCAGATTATGGCTGCCTCCTGAAGATAAGAAATTTCCCATTATAATGAAAACTAGAAATAGCATAATAAAGGAAGTTCCGAAAGAAAAGGAGAACTTTATTTTTCAGTGATTATATAGTTATACCAAATACAGACTCTGTTATTTTCTGGTTATTATGGTGTGCTACTATTTACAGATATTAGGATAGCCATAAACAGGGTTTTGTGCAGTACACATCCTTTTTTTAGGCTACTGAATTAGATACTTTGTGGTTTGTGACCTTTTTTTAACTTTTTACTTCCCTACATTATTGTTGTGTAGTTCATTTTGAGAGAGGCTACGGCCGAAACGTTGATTTGTCTGGGGTTTTATTTTGCATGTTGCTTCCCTTCCCCCTTTCATCAGGCTTCTTTTTTTTAGTCACACTTTATTGGATTAATTCATTGACACTTTGTGGCGAGTATCATGGCAATTTTTAGTTTTAGACACTTTGTTGTGACTACTGGCACCTTTTTATTTCTAGGTTTAAAAAAAACCTGGGGCCATAAGTAATTAAAATGTGAAGATTGCAATATTCATTGAGGTATTAGTTGGCCTCTGTGGCTTAGGCACTACATATGTGCTTTGTTGTAATTTAAAAGACTGTTCAGAGAGCAATGGCAAACTACTCAATGTAATCCAGCCTAGTAAAGCCAAACAGCAACAACAACAAAATGCTGGAGTTGGTTCTGCAGTGTGAAGTAAAATATATGCAGCTAACTAATAAAGTATCTAAAAGCCTTTTTTTTTTTAAATGAAATGGTATGCATTACGTAAATCTTTTTTTTTTAAGCATTATTGTTATCAGCACTACTGTTATAGGTACTTTGTAGTGAGTACCTCTTTAGTCACTTTGTGATGAGTTAGTTAGTTGTGTATCTTTCTTCACTGGACATTTCAAAACCAACCCCAGCATTTTGTGGCTGTTGTGGTTTTTCTAGGCAGATTTACATCCAGTAGTTTGCCATTGCTTTCTGGACGGTCGGCTTCTCGATACCAATGCAAGGCGCAAGGCCTGCAGCTGGTATTGAACCTGGCACCCCGGCATTACGAAGCAAGCTACGCTTAAGCCACAGACTCCCCAAAACAGCTAGCCATTTTCCTAGAACTAAACTAAACTTCATTTGTTTGTGTTAATCAAAACATTACTTGCCGTCTAGGTATTAGGTAGGAAGCTATTAATAACAAAATACCTAAAACATCTGAAGGAAACTGTATCCACTTAGTCCAGATTCCAGCTAGTTCTTATATACCGTAAAACTTATCTTAATATGCTTCTTTACAGAAGTAAATTTCCAGTGCTTGATTTACATACCCATTGGCTAGTGAGCTAAGGAAAAGGGTGGGAGAACTCTTCATCATGGTCTGCATGGTCAGCAAAGTATCCAGAGGACAGTCTCTACATCACCCTCACCCGGATAAATACAAGCCCTTATCAGAACTCACCTCAGCTGTGATGCACTGGTAAAGTAAAGTAAAGTAAAGAAGCCTGTCAAACCATCAGTGCGTCATAAACACAATGATAAGCCCATACTTTTATAAATCAGTTAGTGCACTATGGGTCAAGATGTTACCTTCACACTGACTACTTTTACTTCCCAGGATTTTATTGGTACCCATTGTAGGCTGGAACAATCTGAGAGCCAAGGTCACATTTTAAAAAAATATGTCTAGACATAAAACTCAACATGGGGAGCAGGAAGCAAGCATCTAGCCACTCATTGCAGTCCAGTTAAAGAGTTAATATTCTGTCTTCAATTGCAACAGTTCCCAACTTTAATTATTTTTAGTCACGATCCTATTTTACAGAGGCACAGTGATCCGGGACTGCAGAAGTTAAAAATAAGCTTTTAAATAGGGTAAACGAAAACACTCCTAAATTTAGTTTTTCAATATAATTGTAATTAATTTGATATTTCTCCTACTTTAAAATTTGAAAAGCTCACCACTGCCTGGTAACCCTACAGAAATCCACACATGACCCCAGCTGGGGCCAAAACCCATAGAACATGAGTCCCCAAATCATGTTTTGGGAACTCATGTTCAATGGGATTCACCAGTCACCCCACAAATCAACACAGGATCATGCATTTCTATACTTTCTCTATTGTATACATGTGATTAATGGAATTGTCATGTATTTCAGACCCATGCAGCCGCAACCAGGCCAGATGAGGGGGTCTCCTAGTGGTCAGCTAGGGGCTGGCAACCAGCCATCTCATCTCAGTAATCCACCACCACAACCTTTCCCAACACCTGGTACTGGACCTCATGGTATGACACGAATGGCCAGTAAAGATGAAGAAGACACTATGAAGAATTTAAGAAAGACGTTTGCAGGCATTTTTGGAGATATGTAGTCATATGTTTTATTGTTTTATAGTTTTGTGAAAGAAAGTTGGTTTTTTAAATACATTAATTGATTACATGCATAGATTTTGTAAAGGTGGGAATAGGATATGAGATACAAATGTCAAAATGAATGCAATGATTTTTTTTATTTACTAGATTTTGCCAAGGAATGGAAAAAATCAGAAGTGGAACAAATCCGGCTGATAATTTTGTTAATTCATAAAGAAAATTTATTAGGGTTATGTTTTCTGTAGTTTACACTCTGTACATTAATTATTTCAGTCTCAAACAACATTTCATTTTAAATCATTAGAATACAGGAGCTTGTATGATAGAGACATAGGTTCAAATCCTCAGTAATGTGGTGGGTTTTCTGTTGTGGGTATAAAAAAATTTTGTTTACATCCTAGCCTGAACAGTTTATGGTGACCACACTACCCATGCAGCTTTACCTCAAGCCTAAGATCCCCCCCACCCCACCCATTTTTGTTTACACCTTGCCCCTACCCTCTCCCCTTCCTACACTGCCCCAAAAAGTGGTACATACAGGAAGTAATACCAAAGCACAATACATGATCCCTAAATGTCATGTGTGCCCAAGCAACACATGATAGGATCTAAAGTATGCTTCAGAAATCCAAACAATTATTTTAACATCCATTATGCTTCAAACAAATTGTCAAATTACTGTATTTATCAACATGTGCTTTATAAACTGGGGCATTAGTTTTCATTAGGCATCTGCTGTTAAAATTTTCTCAGACTAAACAAGTTTACACAAACTGAAAATGTTTTCAACTAGTTTTTCACATTACAGGAAGTAAAATAGTCAAAAGATTAAAAGATTGAAAATACTGAAACCAAGTATGAAAGCTGATTTTCACCTAAATCATTTGAATGAACTGCATTAGCAACATGTGGTAGCCCCTGCTGCTTTCATTGATAATTTCACACTATAAGCATTAGGTCCTGGCTTCATGCATTGGCTCTTCTGGTAATTATTTCATCATTATCACATGACCAGAAAGCCTTTTCACCAAATTCTTTTTTCTCACTTTATTTACCTTAACATTTCAAGCCACAAACATCATTATTATCATTCTATTTTTGCTGAGGAGACATAAATAAGCTCAGAAAGAAAGTGCTAAAGCATTGAATGAGGTAAACACAATAAAAGAAGCTATGAACATTTGTGCCTAAAGAAATGTTAATTACCATTATTAAGTTATTCTAGAGTATGAATACAGTGGGACCAACAACAACAAAAACACTCTAATGTCATGGTGACTGTTATAGCTAGCACTGTCTTTCAATGCCTTTGTCTAGCATGGCACTGAAACCTGAAGGCAGTCCTTAAGCTGTTCAGCCCCCCCCCCCCCTACTCACCACTCTACCCCCCAGAAAATTATAGAGGTTGAAATAAAATAAGTAAGGGAGCTAAATGTATCCCTGTATTTTTCTTATCTGTTTTCGATTAAAGTTTCCGAGTTATTAGGGAAAAAGTCTGCATTTACTTTTTCACAGGTCTAAAGAATATTATTTATGTTTTTCTAGGTTGTAGTCAAATTCTTTCATGACAAGTGATTCTCTGATAAAATATTATCGCTCAAACTTTAGCAGTGAAAATCCAGTCATACAAATGCTAATGACAGTCATATTTAATAAATTATCAAATTGTTTTAAAATATGACACAGCGGAATTCTAACTCTAGTAATTTTTGAAAACTTTCTTTGCTTTCAAGTGTATTAACAATTGCTGCTTCAATTATTCATGAATTACGCCAGTTACTGGAGCACAGAATGAATGTATGAATGAATGAATGAATCAAGAATTGACATCAGTGCACTCTGGACTTTTCCATAAGTGCTCCGTCTTCTTCCTCAGTAGCCAACAAAGAGTTTTCATGCCAGTAGTTCCACATGCAACCTGATTAAATATCTGCCTTTGTTCCCCTGTCTCCCTCAGTGTTAAATATCCTACAGACCCCTGCTCCCACCCCCCCCCCCCCCCCTTCCCCACCTCTGGCTTAGTCTTTCAGTGTATGGATACTCTGTTATACTACACCCTCCACTTGATCTCAGTGAGCGTTCACTGGAGCACAGACAGAAAACAGAGAATAGCTACAGTGTAACCAGCCAAGAATCTCACAGAGATGATAACAAGGCAATGGATGGATCTAAGCTGGCTATCTCACACTATAAAAAAACACTTAGTTGTGCAATTCAGCTGAACCTGAATAAGCTGTCTTATAATATATGCTCTATAGGGAGATGAATGCTAAAGAAAGATCAGACGAATAACGACAACCGTTGTCTGCATGGGAAATATGGTAACGTAGCTTCTAAACCAGTGCAAAAATCTTGGGCTCAAATCTGTATTGTGACTAGTTATAATATTCACCATGACAACACAGTTTTTCAATTTTCACCTTGAATTCCAGCTAGTTATAATATTCACCATGACACCACAGTTTTTCAATTTTCACCTTGAATTCCAAGTCAACCCAGCCAAAAATGCATACCAGATAATGTTCTGGGAAGTAAAGGCGGTCAACATTCATCTGACCACATCACTCACCGCGTACCGGCTGTTTTATAGAAATTTTAGTCTAGCATCATTTGCTCGATCTGCCACCAGCTTAGCAAGGGTCTTTTAATTAACTTTATTTGTCTGCCTAATGTTCCATTTTTTAATATTAATAATGCCATTCATGTACTATACATTTCGTACATAATTATTACTTTTCTATTAGTGTTAATATCATTTGTTCAATGTTTGTTGGTCAGAACTCAGTGTATTTAGCATTTTCAAAAAAAAAATTTTTAAACTCTCAACTACTGACAATGTGTACATTTTTATAATGATTTTTAGTCATGAATACTAAATGATATTCATTTATTTTCTTTATTTTTATTGCTTAAATAATGTTTGAATTGGGTATATATGTATATATGTCATACATGCTGTTGAAGACATATACATTCACACATAGTAAAAATGAAAAAGTGAACTAAAATAAGCTGATTTCTTCAACTTTTTTTTTTAGCAGTGACATCAAAACAATATTAAAAACCGTATGGTTTCCATTAATCTGTGTAAGATGCTATCAGTTATATTCTCATGTTAATTGTGCTCATATCTAGCATGTATTTATACTTTATGAATTGATGTGGTGATAGTATTGCTTTCATTTAGAATTTGTTCCATTTAGGGTGTCTCCCAAACCCCCTGCAAACATTTCACTTGGTACTGTAAAATAGATTTATGTAATAGAATAAAACAATTTGTTGTGTATTTTTGTCTCATCACACTGAAGCCTTAACAATACCCACACATACCTTAATGCGATGCACTACATCAAAAGCATTGTTACTCAAAGCAATAGTGCACACTTGGGTCTGAAGACGTTCACGCTCACCTGCCTGTGTGGAGGTCTGCTCACACTCACCTGCCTGTGTGGAGGTCGGCTCACGCTCACCTGCCTGTGTGAAGGTCGGCTCACGCTCACCTGCCTGTGTGGAGGTCTGCTCACACTCACCTGCCTGTGTGGAGGTCTGCTCACGCTCACCTGCCTGTGTGGAGGTCTGCTCATGCTCACCTGCCTGTGTGGAGGTCTAAGGCTGAAATCCCCATTACCAATATTGATCTTATCTTGCAGGTTGACCCGGCTTAAAAAAGGTGTCAGCTAATGTTCTGGGAAGTAATGGCAGCTGTCGTGATTTTGATGATATCCCTCATCAAGTGACAAATGGTCTATACAAATATAGGTCTGGCACTATATGTCCAATACAGCAAAGGCATAAAAAGGGTTCTTTTACTTTGAGTCCAAAGGGTTAAAATAAGAACTATATTGGACAAAAATATGTATAGTTTAAATTAGGATAGAATGGATTAATGTATCAGCACAATAGAGTAGAGCCGATTCAGCAAAGAAAATACTGCCAGCAGTAATACATGGACACAGGATGAGGTACTTAACACTGAGAACTTACTGTAACATTTCCAGACAGCTATTTTGATAAACTGTACTGAAGGTTTTTTACCCCTAGAAATAAAAGTACTGGTACTCACCATACACTGTCTAAATAAAGTGTCTGTTACAGAAGCACTGAAAAATATGATGCCTAAAAACAGTCTGGTACTCCATAAAGTTGTATACTACCAGAAAAAAGTCCTGCCCATACTTTTTATGAACATTTGAATATTAATGTTTCAGACATGTCTACAACATTCATTGTGCAGACAAGAACATCAATAGATCTATCAACAATGGGATAATAAAGAAGACATATGACATATAAAAACTGAAGGAAATCATGTATTTTAGGCATTAACAAGACTGGATTATAAAAAAATATTGGTTATTAAGGCATAAAGCATTGAAGAAAATTGTATATCTGAACATTAAAAAATATTTTAAAATCTAGAAAAGATCATAATTTAGTGAGACACTCCTTGGGGAGACTTTCCTTGTAAGTGAAATAGAAGGATACTATGTTCTTAAATTCCTTTTCAGGGATGGGATTTTTTTTTATTTTTTAATTGGGCTCCTGTGAAATATTCTATAGTGGGTTACAGAAATCATGACCTCACACTTTAACAAATATCTCAAACAGTCCTGTGGGAATCAATGCACAATTTTTGCAGCCTTAGATTCCCCATGTCCTTATGATTTTTTAATTTACTATTGCACATGTGCTGCTGTTTTCTTAAAGTGGTGAATTTCTTTAATTTTTGACACATACGTGGATATTGATTGGAAATCAGTTCATTTGTGCAGCAATGCATGCTGATTATTTTTATAGCCTGTTCCACATACAATGAAAAATTTCCAACTCAGAGGAGGCTAATGCTGGAGATGAATACATGAGAGTGTGCAATTTTATGTTTTCAAAAGTTCCAATACTCATTTAACTGTAAGCATGCTGACTGCTTGTTTTGAACCAGTGACTGTTTTTTTTCATTATGTCATAACTACAACAAAATAAAAACTAGATATTACAATTA